AAACCCGGAGAGCGGAAGAAGATGGTGAAGGGAGTCCCCTGCTGCTGGCACTGCGAGGTACCTGGAGCTGCCATCCTGCTGCCACTACTAGAACATGGTTACAGGAAGTGAGGCAAAAGGAATGAAACATGTGTCCCACCTGCCTGCAGCTCTGTGACGGGTACCAGTACCAGTTGGACGAGTTCACCTGTGAAATGTGTCCAACGGACATGCGGCCTGTCCCCAACCGGACGGCCTGCTGTCCCACGCCCATCATCAAGCTGGAGTGGAACTCTCCCTGGGCCCTAGTGCCCGCCTCTCTCGCCATGCTAGGCATCCTAGCAACCAGCGCCGTGGTGGTAACCTTCATTCGCTTTAATGACACCCCTATCGTCAGGGCATCCGGAAGAGAGCTGAGCTACGTCCTGCTGACCGGTGAGCTCGCTGACCGGTCGCTCCAAGATTTCACAATTACTTTTGTGAATTTTGCAGTCAAATTGACAGATTTTCTTGTGATTCTTTAGGAAAATATTTTGAGATATTTTCACTCATGTATGACATTAAGAATGACTATAGCTGGACATCAAATCAGGTCTTCGGCAGTAGAGGAGAACAAGTAAGAAATACTGCCACCTGCAGATGGGAGTTTAGTATCATCACAACCCAATATTTTTGTGAGATTTTGAATTTGTCCTGTCGCTGTGAAAAACTGGAGACTGACTAAACCACATGGTGCTGTGTGACATCGTCAGTATGGATGACATCATTAGTCTTATGGATGACATCATTAGTCTTATGGATGACATCATTAGTCTTATGGATGACATCATTGAGAATGATGTCATCAGCAGTTGATGACCTCACCTTTCTCCATCCAGGTATCTTTCTGATTTACCTGATCACCTTCCTGATGATCGCGGAGCCAGGTGTGGTGTGTGTGCATTTCGGCGCCTCCTGCTGGGCCTCGGCATGGCTATCACCTACTCCGCCATGTTAACCAAAACCAACCGCATTTACAGGATCTTTGAACAGGGCAAGAAGTCGGTGACTCCTCCAAATTCATAAGCCCACCTCCCAGCTCGCCATCACCTTCATCCTCATTTCTGTCCAGGTAAGTGGACGCAGGTCATGTGACCCGCAGGTACCTTGTGTGATGCCTGGTGTCTCTCAGGTTCTGGGCGTGTTTTGTGTGGTTCGCTGTGGTTCCTCCTCACACCATCATTGACTACGAGGAGCTCCGCCCACCAAACCCAGACCTGGCCCGAGGCATCCTCAAGTGTGACATGTCAGACCTGTCCATCATCTGCTGCCTGAGCTACAGCATCGTTCTCATGGTAAAAAAATACTTCCCCTCAGCATGATGGTTCCACCAGCGTGCTGTACAGTGCTAAGCCATGGGCTTTTCCTTCAAAGCCAGAACAAACACCAGAACCGGACTGTAATTCTCAGTTACATCTGTGACGTCTGTTGGGACGTTACAGATGTAACGTGACGTCCCACCAAACAGAAATATTCTTACAAACAGAATATTTCTGTTTGTAAGAATCTGCATTGCATCGTCTGTTGCTAGGTAACATGTACGGTTTACGCCGTGAAGAGTCGAGGCGTTCCAGAGACATTCAACGAAGCGAAGCCCATCGCTTCACTATGTACACCACCTGCATCGTCTGGCTGGCCTTTGTCCCCATCTTCTTTGGCACCGCTCAGTCCACTGAGAAGGTAAGAACCGGACCAGGCTTCAAGTGAGTTAGTTAGATCTGGCCAGAACCAGATGTAACCCAGAGGAACTGGGAAGAACCACAGAGTTCAATCAGAGGAACCAAATCTGTTCCTTTAAACAGACTGCAGGTCTGTATTGTTCTGGTTCAGTTCTGGTTCCTGCAGCTTCTCCAGAATCTTCTGGTTAGTGTTCTCCAGAACAACAGACAGAACCGGAGTAGAGGTGAGCGGATGAGAGGAACTTGGCTCCATCCTGTCACTGCAGACAGAAACCAGGAGGAGGATGGAGTGTTTGGGTTGGCGGCGCTGGGGGAGGACAGGTCCGTTATGCGTCAGATAAACCGTGCAGATACTTTCAGGTCGGATTATACAGATTAGAACAGACAAGTAACGAGGCCCAAACGCCCCAACAAAAGAGACAAAAAGACCAAAATATCAGGGCCGGGGAAAGAGGCTTTCAGAACTGCTGAGCCGACAAAATAAAAGCTTCTCTGCAGGATTAAAGATGGAGGCTGCAGCAGAACATAACAGACTCTCCAGGATGTTTCGCAGCTGCTTGGAAAGTTTCAAAGAGAATAATTCATGAAAACATGAATGAGAGGAGTTGCAAACAACAACAGGTCACACGCCGGTTCTTCTTCTGTGGTTCTCTGATAACAGCCGGACCTCCTCCTCTCTCTCGGTTCTGGGTGCTTCATGAAGGAGGATTTAAGAGAAGCTTTTTATCTGAGAACAACAGAACCAACGGGAGCTGGGAGAGGATTACTGCTGCAGGAGCTTTTAGCTTCACACACACATTCCTAACTAATTTACTCCTGTGGACTCTAATTGACTCCCTTTAGTTTCTGTAGCCTAACTTTGACCTTTTCCCCAACCTCCTCAAGTTTATACCTAACCCTAACCTGCAAATAATCTTTTTTTCCCAGAATGTATTTATGCTTTAACATGAGGTACAAGGTGAAGGTGTTATTGTAGTCAGATAGTTAACAGTGTACCCCACAAATGATCTTTTTATATTGTGTGGCAAAATGTCCCCACAGCTACAAATGTCCTCATAATGCTGGGGGTTAGTCAAGAACCCCACAACTATGGCTAAACATCTACACGCACTCACACACACACACACACACACACACACACACACACACACACACACACACACACACACACACACACACACACACACACACACACACACACATGCTCACGATATATATAAAATATTAATGAACCAGTGGGAAGATTCAAGTTAATTGCTTGCAACATCTCGCATTGGTTTGTAATTAATTAATTGTATTTTGTCAACAAAGTAAGTAACACTTTCAATTCAAGACTCTTTTTGTTGCGAAATTATTGAATAAATTAAGATCTGATCTCAACAACAGAAATATTGTATTTTTTAATCTGTTCTTAAACCATCAGATTGGAGCAAAGTTTTTCAGGAAGCCCTGATCATTCAGATGTTAGCTGCTACATGTTTAGCATTGAGATGCTATTTGAGGCCTGAATAGCTTTGATGTTAAGGAAACTCCATTTAGCACAATGTGAACTGAAAAATAATTGTTTTCTGGTGTCCCGTCAGATCATTCAGAACCAGAAATTAACACCCAGTTGACAGAGAGAAGCAGCTTCATCGCTGCTGCTAGCAGATGTGCGTCAGCTTTACGGTTGTATCAGAAACAAGTGAATACAAAGGTTCCACAGAGAACTTTTCTCCTGGATATTTGTTGATGGTTTTCTTTGTTTCTCAAGGAGTTCTGCAGACATGAAGGTGGTTCTGTTAAGTTCGGGTCTCTGTCTCCTCAGATGTTCATCCAGACTGCCACCCTGACAGTCTCCATGTCCCTCAGTGCTTCTGTCTCTCTGGGGATGCTGTACATGCCCAAAGTTTATGTCATCATCTTCCACCCGGAGCAGAATGTCCAGAAGAGGAAGAGGAGCTTTAAGGTGAGAACCCAGGTGTTCTTCTCAGGTGGTTGTTGCTGTGGTTCCCCGTTGCTCTAACCGTCATGTTGCAATGCAGGCAGTTGTCCAGGCGGCCACACTGTCCCAGAAGACGGACAAACCGAACGGAGACACCAAGATCGAACCTGACAGAACTCAGTAGCTCCACCTGCTGGAGGCAAGGAACGTTTCAGCATTTCTAGTGATGAAGAACAAAACCTTGATTTGATGCTTGAACTCATCCTGACCCCGATAGGTGACCCCTGCCCAGAGTCACCCAATGATGAGGATGAGGATGATGAGGAGGATGATGAATCATGTTTTCTTTCCTTCTCAGGTACCAGCCAACCAGAGCAGAGCCTGATGACATCATCACCACCATTATCATGAAGATGCTGAGCTTTTATTGTGAAAACCAGACTTTAGGTCAGACAGGAAGTGGAGACATGTTGTGTTCAGGGGACAGTGTGGAGCTCAGTAATGTTGCCATGGCAACATTAAACATGGAGACATTATTCTGCCTGGTGGGGGTCTGTGACATCACTGACAACACCTGAGCACTTCCTGTCAGAATCTGACTTTTCACAATAAAAGTGTTACACTAGCTGTTTCTTAAGAAATGGGTGGACTGGAGGAGGGTTTACCTGAGGAGCTCACCTGTTGCTTCAGCCTGTCCCATGTAATAGGGTTCTGGTTCTGATCATCTCAGTGAAACAGAACCCTGGTCCACAGATTCAGAACCTTTAACTTTAATGTGAATCTCTTTGTGAATAAATCATTTAATTTCAAATGTTCTGGTTTCAGTATTTGGGTCTCGGTGAGGTGGACAGAACCTGTTCAGGTGGCTCTGGTTCTGTTGGCAGACCAGAATCAGGTTCACAGATGAAGCAGCGACTTTGAGTTCATGTTTGAGTTTTATGGTTTGTCATTTATAAAGTTATAGAGTCAAAAATTACCAGCAACAATTTGTGTTGTTTAGCCTGTCATAAGAGAAACCAATGGGAGTTTGTTGTAGTCATACTTCCACCATGACTATTATTATTCATTCGTCTATAAATGTCACATTTCCCATCTAAACATTTATGAACCATGTTAAATATTTAGCTCCATAAATATTATTTAGCCAAATAAATATTTAGCTTCAGATATATTTATCTGAGCTCATTGTTCGGTTAACTCTGAGCTACCTAAATATTTAGGTTATTAAATAAACGTTTAACTTTGACTTTCTAAGTCGCAGATTCTAAAAAACAAACTTCTGATGAATGTGGAACATTATTTTATCTGCATTTGCTGCTAACTGGGTTCAATGAAAGGATGCGGGCTGTTGTCGGTCCTCCTCACCGGCTGGTGGCGGTATGCACCACCTTGTTCACCAGCCGACTTCAAAATCAAGAAGAAGAAGGTCCAAGATGGCGGCCTCCGCAGCGTCGCGTGAACTCTTCACGGAGGGAGTTCGGGCGGTTCTTCAGACGTGGCCGGTTCTACAGGTGAGCTCCGAACCGGGTCAACTGCCGGGTTCGGAACCAGGTCTTAGGGGACGTGGGGATAATCAGTTGGTTCCACTAGAACACGTGATCAAACCATGTAGTTAATGCTAGCAGCTCCTGCTTGGGAGGTTCCGTCTCATCCAGACCGGTCCAGTTCAGCTCTACTGGACTTTAGACGGATTTGGAGCTCAAGATCCAGTTATGATCCACCTTCTGGTTCTGGTACTGCTCAGCGCTGACCCAGTGGGTTCATTATCTGTCAGTAACGGGTTCGGGCTGACATTGGACCTTTTGAAAAATGCATCACTCAAACGTTCCGGACCCATCAGAACCGAACCTTCTCCCCCGTCAGAACCACCCTGACCCATCAGAACCGCGGCCAGCGGATGATTTATATTAAAAAGTTAATATTTTCCTCCAGCTCAGTCTAGAAGTGGTCCGGTTCTGACCCGGTTCCGGATGTGTCCTCTTGTCCCTCAGATCGCAGTGGACAACGGCTTTGGAGGCGTTTACGGCCAGCAGAAAGCTGATTGGATGGTGGATGTCGTTCAGCAGTATTTCCATGACAACGGTACGTCTCCACGGTAACAGCTAAGAACGTTTTAATGTCAGAACCTCACTTCCTGTCTGACGTCACAGTTCTGTAGCCTGACGTGTGTGTGTGTGTGTGTGTGTGTGTGTGTGTGTGTGTGTGTGTGTGTGTGTCTGGGTGTGTGTGTGTGTGTGTGTGTGTGTCTGTGTCTGTGTGTGTGTGTGTGTGTGTGTGTGTGTGTGTGTGTGTGTGTGTGTGTGTGTGTGTGTGTGTGTCGGTGGAGGGCAGCTGACCTGCAGCAGTATGAGGTGGAGGATTTTCTGTCTCAGCTGATGGATCAGGAGTTTGATACGGTGGTGGAGGATGGCAGCTTACCTCAGGTACACACACACACACACACACACACACCGACACACACACACCGACACACACTCACACCGACACACACAACTATGAGCTGTGGCTCTGTCTCCTGATTGGCTGCTACCTGACCAGGTGTGTCTGCAGGTGTCGCAGCGTCTGCTGCAGCTGTTCTCCCTCTGGAGCAGGGGGCGCTGCAGCAGCTCCGGAGCACCATCCACATACTGACTCAGAGCAAAGCGCCAAGGGCAAAGGTCACGGCTCCGGCTACGCAGTCAGATGACGAGGAGAGCAACAGCGAAACGCAGGTACGCCACGGGACTGGTTGCTAGGCAACACAGCCATAAAGTTGTCCTAACAAATTTATTAGAACTTCCTGTTGGTCCATTAATAACCTGTATGTGTGTGTGTGTGTGTGTATGTGTGTGTGTGTGTGTATGTTTGTGTGTGTGTGTGTGTATGTGTGTGTGTGTGTGTGTGTATGTGTGTGTGTGTGTATGTGTGTGTGTGTGTATGTGTGTGTGTGTATGTTTGTGTGTGTGTGTGTGTATGTGTGTGTGTGTGTGTATGTGTGTGTGTGTATGTGTGTGTGTGTGTGTATGTGTGTGTGTGTATGTGTGTGTGTGTGTGTGTATGTGTGTGTGTATGTGTGTATGTGTGTGTGTGTGTATGTGTGTGTGTGTATGTGTGTGTGTGTGTGTGTATGTTTGTGTGTGTGTGTATGTGTGTGTGTGTATGTGTGTGTGTGTATGTGTGTGTGTGTATGTGTGTGTGTGTGTGTGTGTGTGTATGTGTGTGTGTGTGTGTGTGTGTATGTGTGTGTGTATGTGTGTGTGTGTGTGTGTGTATGTGTGTGTGTGTGTGTATGTGTGTGTGTGTGTGTGTGTGTGTGTTGCGCAGGGCATGGAGTGTGAGGAGTCCTGCCCGTCCCTCAGCACCATACGTCCTCCTCCTCAGGACGAAGAGGACGGCTGGACCATGGTCCGGAGGAAGAAGTGACGAGCAGAACCAGAACTTTACAAACCAGACTTGAACTGGACTCCACCGTGGAGCCGCCATTTTAAGGGCGGAGCCTCCATGAAGGCGCTGCAAAGTCCAGATGATCCGGTTCTGATGGCCTAGTTGGAAAACTGTCTTCGTTTATTTAGAACATTAAAATGGGTCAAATTAAACAGAACCAATCAATTTTAAAATATCAGTCCATTAAAATTCTTCTCATATGTTCTGGTTCTCTGGTCCAGCAGAACCAGAACCAGGTGGAAACTTTGATGATGACGGATCCGATCTGATCCAGAACCACATGCTAGCATATCAGACTGGACCCGGACTGTCTGGTTCTGTGCTGCTTTAGGTCAAATTCTGACTGGTTCTGGATGTTTCAGTTCTTTGAAGTTAAAAATATTTTGATATTTTTATTATTAATAATGCCCCTGGGATTAGCTAATGCTGGTTAGCATCCTGATTAGCATTAGCTAATGCACCTTCAGCTGCTAATCAACATTAGCTGCGATTAACAGCTAATGATGCTAATTAGCTGCTGAAGCTGTTCTGCAATATTTTCACTAAAATCATGAAGTCGTTTTTAATGGACTTGTTTAAAATAAGTGCTTTTATTCTGAAAGTTGAGGTGTGACATCATCTCTGCTCATGAATAATTAGTTAATCGCTGCTGGATGTTTGTTTGAGGTTTAACCCCTGCAGTTCGTATTCAGAGCTTAATTTAATAAAGTTTACGAAAAATCATGAAGCTCTGGGCTTTATTCCCATCAGATTATCACAGAACGGATCAGAACCAGGAAGTTTTCAGGGTTTGAAGTTAAATCTGACATGGAAATAAGGTTTCCAGCAGAACATGAGGAAGTGGAATTCTCATTTATTATTTAGGGATTAATATGTGAGACGGAGAATCTGAGATTATAATCTGGGTTTACTGGGAGCCAAATGAGGGAGAAACATGACCTGTGTTGATCAGGACTCTGCGTTTTCTGGATGTCCGATGGTAAATAAAAGTGAGAAAGGAAACTTTCCAAATACAACAGTTTTTACTATTTACATTTTATAAGCAAATACTGGAAAATTAATGACACCCTTTTCAATACTCAAAGAAAAAAATGTTTTCCCAGTTTCTTACTGGCATTAAAGCAGAAAAGTTTTCTTGAAACTGTTGAGCAGTTTTAATATTTCTGCTTTAAGGTTGGATGGTCTCCTTACCATCACCCTAATCTTCAACTGTGATACTTCATATAGGACCAGTTCATAATGAACATTTTCTGAAAAATTTTTACAAGAAAAGTCCAAATAATGGAAGAACAATAATCAGTGCATCGAGTTTATTATCCAAATTAATTTAGTTTCTATGGGAACGCAGCAACGCTTCGAGTTGTTGACCTGCAGCATTTTCCTCCTGACTGAGCTTTGATCAGTGATCGATTGGTCCTGTCTGGTCAGTTTGACTCTTAAAGGGACAGTATCACATGTTGTCCAGGAATGTAGCACCATTTTGTATAATGATCAGTAACAATGTTACCTTCTATTATATGACTTAAAATGTTCTGTCATATATCAAATATGACTTTGCTTCCTGTTTTAACACCTTGAAATTGGGTGTTGAAATCTCTTTAAGATCTGCTTTTTCTGAAGCTCCGCCTCCAGGAAGTCCTCCAACATAGCACCTCTTTAACCCTTTAATGTTTTCAGCAGCGTTGCTCTGAGCAGCAGCTCCTATAAAGAGCTCAGCAGATGTTTGCCAATTGTTGCTGGCTAGTCTGAAGGAGCTGCACCTCGAAGGCGGGGCTAGGTCCACCCAGGCATTTGTCAAACATGAATGAATCAGAACAAAACTGCAGGGAAAAACATGGCAGAGGATGTGATGCTGCTCAAACCGACAGCAGAGAAAAACATTTCTTTTATTATTATCATTATTGTTATTATTATTACTGTTTTTATTATCAAACATAATTTCACAACCAGCGATGCTGATAAGAAAAGGTTTAATTAAAGCACAGAAACATGTTAAATTACAACCAAATGAACCGATCCGCTGCAGGTTTCCCTCCAGAACCCAGAGAACCAAGCGGTTCGACACCACCAGGTCCAAACGGTTCCGATTCAGCCCCAGTAAACCCAGAACTGAGCCGGCTTTTATTCTGAAACCAGAGAACACCTGACCAGGTGAGATTCACACAAAAACAGGTAGAAAACCCCCCTGACATCATCAGTGATGTCACTGCAGGGGGCGGGGCTGTTTCAAGGCACTAAGGTCATCAGAACAGGTGAACAGGTGGAAGCTCGTTATCTACTGATCAATAATCAATAAGCAGGAAGTGACAGATCAATAAAAACAATTAAAATTAAGAAAAATGAGAGAAAAACAGATTTTAGTTGATCTGTGGAAGTTCAGCACCAGAAACTCACACAGGTTGATCGACTGACGGCCGATCAGGTGATCGCCAGAAGAATAGTCAATCGATCGGTCAATGATGAAGCAACAGATGAGCTGCTGGCTTCATAAATTAGATCGACTCAAAAAAAACTGATCAGAAATCAAAACTGAGTATGAAAGGAAGACAGGAAGTCAGGTGGAAAAACAGGAAGTGGACAGGAAGTCTACAGGAAGTGAGGTACAGCAGCACTGAAGTGATTTCTGGAGTCAGCTCTGACCGTTCACCTGTCCAGGTGATCAGCAGCTGTCAATCTGAGACCAAACATCTGGATGGTTTCACCTGGCCAGGTCAAAGGTCGTGTCTGAGCATCGACTAGCCGGACCTCAGCTCAGTTCAGACAGGTGAGGCTTCCTCAGGTGTGACTGGCAGTCAGCTTTAGAGGGAGGCGGGGCTAAACGTTCATCGGCCCCACCCACTGACCAGTCGGCCAATCAGCAGAGGCGTCTCCAACCACACGGGTCAGCGAGTCACAGTGAGACAGCTGTGTGTGCAGGTGTGTGTTATGTGTGCAGCCAGGCGTGCTGCAGGCACTGCGCCGCCGTGGCGCGGCGCTCCGGCTCCATCTCCAGCATGGTGAGCAGGAAGTCGCTGAACTGCGCCGCCTGGTCCAGCGGCCACTCGTACTTCTCCAGCAGAACCTCGAACAGACCCCACGGCTTCAGGTTGGAGATATGCCGCAACTCACCTGGACATGTACGTCGAGAGAAACAGCCAGTCAGAGAGCCATTCAGGGAGCCAATCAGAGAGCCCGGTGGGACCTGTGGGCGGGTCTCACCTCTCCTGGTGAAGTATTCCCTGGAATACCTGCCAGACAAGGCGAAGGGCAGCGGCAGCGGACCCAGCAGCTCCATGATGTGGGCGATATGATCTGCAGACAGGTCACACAACTAAACACACTGAGGAAGTACAGAACCAGAACCCAACCAGAACCCGCCTCGGTACTGCTGCTTTACCTTCGTCTCTGGTGTAATCTTCTCCTGAATGCGGCTCGAACAGGTAATCCCCGGTTGCGAGTTCGAACGCCTGGAGAAGGAAAAACAGGTCAGACCTGGTTCTGGACCCAGTTCTGGACCCGGTTCTGGACCCAGTTAATGATTTGTGCCTTTTTGGGAAGGTTAGCCAGGATTTGCCACTGAAATGTAACATCAGAACCTCTGAAATGTTTGGAACTGATCATTCCCCTAGTTTACCAGCAGGGGGAGCCTTTTTATGTGAAACCTGCAATATTCTGAGGAGTTTACAGAAATCCAACAGAAAGTTTCTGAAAGTTATTGATCGTGTGTGTGTCTGTGTGTGTGTGTGGTGTCTGTGTGTGTGTGTGTGTGCGTGCACCATGCAGGCGGTGCTCCAGATGTCTGCTGGTGGCCGTACTCCGCTCCGATCAGAACCTCCAGGGCCGGTACTGCCTGGTCTGGATGTCCTCGGTGAAGTGTTTGTGCTGCTCGGACACAGTGAGGGAGAGAAGGAGGCGTCTGATTGGTCGGAGCTGCACAGGAGGATGAGGAGAGGATGAAGATGTCTCACCACCCAGCAGGCGTTCCCAGGTCGGCGATCTTCACTCGGAGGCGGTCGGCGTTCTGCGGGTCCAGAGGGTTCAGGACGAAGTCCGACGAACTGAATCCTGCCGACAAGAGAACAACTTCACTGGGATTGGTCACAAACTCAGCCAATCACCTGCTGGTGAGTCAGCATCATTACACCGTCTGATGCCGACACCGACCAACCAAACAGGCAGAAAACGATCCAATCGATGCGATCGATCCGATCGATGTTCTGCTTCAGACTCCAAAAGACGAACAGAGAGACAACAGAAAACGTAACTTTCATTTATCAACGTTTATTTCACCAGAAAATCCTTTTGAGATTAAAAATCAACTACAAGAAAATCCTGGCCGGGATATTTTTTCACATTTCAAGAATAAACTAAATAACTTTATGAGTATAAAATATTAGAGAAAAAGTTGTACGACAATAAAATGACATAAGAACAGTCATAGTGTAATAAAAATAAAGTTACACTATAAAGTCTAAATATTACAGAAGAAAGAAACAGAATCCTCCATAAAAATGATCAAAACAATTAATTTGACAAACCGAATTAAAGCAACTTGTTCTAATTCTCTGACTTCTCTGTTAACATCAGAACTTTATTCTCAATAAAAATTCTTAATGTGGCTCCAAACGATCTGCAGGACATTAACGTCCAACAGAAAGTCTCACCGTCTCGTCCGCTGGAGCATCCCGACTGGGTGGAGAGCGCCGACTCAGAGGTCGCCGACATCACCGAGCTGGAGAGCCCTGATAGGCCGGAGGCGGGCTGGAGAAGCGTCCGGGGGCGGGGTCACTGAACCTGTCGTCCAACCAGGAGCTGCTGGACTCTGGGCTTGGCTTGTGATTGGCTGTGGAGCAGAAAGTGTTGCCGTTGACGACCACAGACCCTGAGAATGAAGAAACATTTCTGCTGTGTTTTAGTTTAACGAGAGAACATTCATGTTTCCACGCATCGCAGCAGGAAGGAGGAGAGTCGCCAACAAGACAACGCAACAATTCACTGGAGATTCAGGGAACTGACAAAATCTGATAGATCTGCTAGTAAAAACGTTCACAGATCTTCTCCGTCCGTCTTCATACTCTGGATCAAAGGGTGAACAAACACCTAGCGCTAATGCTAAGCTAGCCACCCTTAAACACACCCAGACAAACCAAGTAACCCAAGACGTTCCCTACAGGTCAGAGTACTCAGTCTGGCTGGAGGCGATTTCTTCCTCACTGTTGGCTCAGTATGACGGATTGACTGACTTCAACTGAATGCATCATGTGACCAAAATGTTTCCTTTGAGGTGAAAAATGGGACCTGGAACCATCAGCTGACCTGGACAACTCCTGGTTTAAACACCTTTAAACAGCTTGCTAGAATGAATGAATGAATGAATGAATGAATGAATGAATGAATGAATTCATTGAATCAACAATCAGAATA